TAAACTTTAAAATATTTAAATATGAAAAAAAAAAAACAGCTGCAGGGGTGGTAGTGAACTACCTAAGAATGGGCAAGAGGGAACTTCTGGAGGTAACAGCATTTGATGAAGGTGTGCAGCAGGTGTAGGTCAACGTCAAACTCTTTGATCAGAACTCTCTAAGATTTGTGTACCTCACTGTATGCAAAATTTACCCCTCTGAATTAGCAAACAAATATTGAACTCTAGTTAATAAAATGCAAGCTGACATGTTTAGGAGTAAAGTATACTGATATTTGCAACTTACTTTGAAATACACTAAAAAAATCAGGTAGAATGATTGATTGAGGGATGGATAAATGGATATATGGTAAAAGCAAATAAAGCTGATAACTGTACAATACAGATGGTGGATACATGAGCATTCATTCTACAATTCTTTTAACTTCTCTGTAGCATTTGAACATTTTCATAATTTTGAAAAAAAATTCACCTAATCTTTTAATTTTTTTTAATTAAAGATGTACACAATATCTCTATTTTGTTTATTTATTTTTACATGGTGCTGAGGATCAAACCCAGTTCCTCACATGTGCGAGACAAGTGCTCTGCCACTGAGCCACAACCCCAGCCCCAGCTAATCTTTTTTTATTAATTTTTTTTTAGTTATACATGGACACAATATCTTTGTTTATTTATTTTTATGTGGTGCTGAGGATCGAACCCAGGGTCTCACACATGAGAGGCAAGAGCTCTACCACTGAGCCACAACCCCAGTCCCCCAAGCTAATCTTTTAAATAAAAAAATACACGAGGCTGGGTATGCCAGCAAATGCCCATAATCCCAGCAACTCAGATGGCTGAAGCAGGAGGATCATAAGTTCTAGACCAGCCTCAGCAACTTCRTAGTCTCTGTCTAAAAWTTTTTTTAAAAGGCTGGGGATGTAAGTCATTGGCAGAGCAACCCTGGGTTCAATCCCTGATATTATAAAACAACAAGAAAACATGACTTTCTATTTTTCTTCCACAGTATTCTGTATAGTGCTTTCCATTCTTAAGATACTTACATGCAAATTACAGTGATTATTAATAGTCTTAAAAATATGAACTTTAATTAACAATTTGTGCAAATATAAGTCAATCATGTTTAAAAAATTTTACCAAACTCAACTAAACCTAAATATTACACTTAAATTTTACACTTTTTTGGGGGCAGCACCTTCACTTATGCTCTTGTTTACTACATTGTCTGTCTCTGAGGAAGTGGGGCAAATGTTAATATCCATTTTCAAGGAGGTTAAATGATATACCAAAGTTAGCTCTGGTAAGCCATATCATCTGAATTATAACTTAGGATATTCTTAAGGTATTATAAACTATACATTTGGAAAAGTTCTAGAGGAAACTATCTTAAAAACCTTCCTCAGGTTTCATTGAGACCAATTTTGTGATATATATATATACATATATATACATACATACATATACACACACACACACACACACACACACACACACAGAAAATGGAATAGTTGGGAAAGATATGTTAGCTTTTGCCTCATTGAAATCTTATCTGGCCAGCCAAAAGGAAATCAAAGTGTTCTTTAAACAGAGGCACCAGGGAAGCCCTCTCTCTCAGGATGAAATAGGGAGAGAAGGAGCAGGGTGGTACTTGAGAGGCATGCAATAACAGATGATCACCCTCACACTATAGGATAGGAGGTATGAGTTAAGAAAAGCCAAAAAGCAGCAGCTATAGAACACAGGGTGTTCAGGAAAGATGAAACTTCAAGGGGATGAATGGCTGACAAGACCACAGCTAGGCAGCCAACACCTAAGTCCTCTGAGCTGGGAATTTCTACCCCAAATTTTCCTAAATTAACTCCTTCTCTAAAGCGTAGCCCTCAGCAGGGGATCATTTTGCAAACAGGGGACATTTTATTTATTTATTTATTTTTAATGCATAGATTTTAAAATGCTTTTATTAGTAGAATAGGGGTATAGCTCAGTGGTAGAGTACTTGCCTACCATGTCCTAGGCCCAGAGTTCAATTCCCAGCATTGCAAAAGAAAAATGTTTATTATAAATAAGATTGTTGAATTGAACTGCAGAGTCCTGGCTATCCTTTGGATGTCTTAAAAGTATGACAAATTCCCTTTGCTTTTGCTTTTTCTTATTATATTAGCAGCAGCCTTGCCTAAGACAACAAACTCAATAAATGTCTTTTCTAGGACTTCCTGTCCCTATGAACTACAATGAGTAACAGGCTTAGGAAGATGGCCTAGWAGGAAAAAAACACAACTTTTCTTTCCTTTTTTTTTTTTCCAGGACTGGGGATTGAACCCATGGGTGCTTTACCATTGAGCTATATCCTCAGCCCTTTTAATTTTTTGAGACAGGATCAAACTTATCAACCTCAAACTTGTCATCCCCTGCCTGAGCCTGCCCAATCACTGGGTTCACAGGTGTATACCACTTCACTAAGCAAAACTGTCATTTTAGGCATTTATTCTGAGTTCTACCTCTTATGGATTGAGATAAATTATTTCAAGTCTCAGGACCTTATTTTCCACAGTTCAATAACAAATAACTTTCTTAGCCTGGCATGGAGGTGCTTGCCTAGAGTCCCACCATATGGGGAGGCTAAAGCAAGGGAATCACTGGAGTTCAAAAGTTTGATAACAGCCTAGGCAACATATAGAGACCCTGTCTCAAAAGTGGAATAAATAACTCCCCTCCCCCCCCCTCAGTACTGGGGATTGAACTCAGGGCCTTATGCATGCAAGGCAACCACTCTACCACTCAGTTATACCCCCAGACTCCAATACTTTCTTTGGCAGGGGTAGAGTGGGGTGGTGGATATGTACTGACTGGGAATTGAATGCTGGGGGGAGGGCAGGGGTGGCATTTTAGAACCCAGAACATCTAACTACAGAATCAATGTTCTTTCTTATAAACCTTAAGGCTACCACTGCTCAATTACACGAGTTACATCATAGTACTAAGGTGACAAGACCAAGGTCACAACTAAACCAGTTAACCTCAAATATGTATTATACTTTGGAATTCAACAGTCTTTTGTCCATCCTATTAAAAATGTTGACAAGTATTTATGCTTATTGGGCACTCTGATCTCATTTGAGGTTGGCTGCTGTGATTGGGCTGATCTAGTCTGAGGAGCACATGAAATGAATAATGATGCAGATAATAGTGGAAAGACCCCATAAAAATTTCTTTGACCAAATGCTGTCAACAACTTCATCTGTTGAGGATGTCTTCAGGACTATCTACATAGAAATCTTTCTAAGAACAAAGCTTACTACAGATAGATCAATGGCACATGAAGTGATTTCTCAATATCTTTAGTTTAAAATATTTTAAGGTCACGATTTTTAAAATTACCTCTGCAGCTACTTATGCCTGCATTGGAACGGATAATTTTCACAGCAACTTGATAAAAATCTAGAGATACTTGTTCTTTAATTCAAGCGTTAATAAATAATCCTGGGGCCTTCAGTGTTCTAATATAAAGATACAGCCTTTTTGCTGTAGGAAAGCAACAGTACCAGAACGGGTATGAATCAGAATTAATCTTCCCTCCAGGCGTCCAAGCTTTCTGTCTCACCAAAAAAGGAAACTGAGCCAAGTGTATATCAAGTAAACAAGCGGTCTTCCACTTTCTTCTCTCCCACAAAGGCTTAACTTAAAAGGAGAGAAATAGCAGAGGCTGGGAACTGCGGCAGAACTGTTATAATGCCTACTTACAGAGCTCAAGCTCTATTTCACCACCGCGGACTAGCCCGACGCTTCCTGGTCAAAACTGCGCCGCAGAGGGAGAACTAAGACCCCCCCACCCCTAACCCCACATTGAGCAGCTTCGTTCCCAAGGCCAAACCCCGCGCCCCCCATGACCTCCAATGGCTAGGAAAAAAGCCTTCAACCACCCGCTTTATCCACAGCGGATCCATACGACCTCCCAGGCTACAGCAGGGATCAGAGTCTGGAGACAAATGGAGGAGCACGTTTGGCTACATGAGGAAAACCCCATCACCTGGAACTCGGCGAACTCCTCACAGTTCACACCGCCACTGGGCGCCGCCATATTGGACGAACGCGAGGACCCCGACACAGGCCAATCACGGTGAAGCAGAGGTGTCCGCGGCGCCGCCTGACGAAAAATAATGGGAGCAGAAAGCTGAGTTTAAGGCTAGTTTTCGTGATGCACMTCGAACTTTGTCACCCTGCTGCCCTACTTTTCCTTGTAACCGCCTCCCTTCAACATGTTCCCCTTCTCAGAGCTTGAAAAGATTGTTTACTCCGATCTCATTCTCACAAAAGAGAACAGTTATTCTGGCCACACCAATGAGGCCAGAGAATTTCCTAGAGAATGTGGAGGAAAGTCAATTTCTCATCCTTCCCTTGTAGCGTCTACTTCTCCTAGAGCAAAAGAGCCCATGTTCATTAATAATTTGGGATCATTAAAGGGGTCAAGAAACAAGGACTTTTCTGGTGGTGTGGGTGGGTAAGTGTTGGAAATTATTAAAATGTATATTTTTTCAATTGGTAAATAGAAAATAAAATGTTGGCAACATGTTGACTTTTCAGACTGGCCTCTGAAATTCCCCGAAAGCCAACAAGACGTGGGGCCTCTAGTAGGCACTGAGTCCAAACTGTGTTTTTGATAATAGCATATATTCATTGAAAACATCGGAAGAACGGCATATTGAAATGCTGATTTACTTAGTGTATTTCCGAAGCGTATAGTTCGCAAACGTTGTACATTTTTTCCTTTAACTTTTCTGTATTAATAAGGCAAACATCTCAGTTGACCCCACACTTCACAGGCACCGCCTAATACTCGGGGCACGACGCGGAACCCTGGGGCGGGACGGGGTGAATCTCCTGCGTCTTCAGTGCGTCACGTCGCGCACGTCCCACATGCCTCGCGCGTCACGCACGCCCCGCTGGCTCCGCCCCTCACCCCGCCCATCGGCCCGCCCGTCTGCTCCACCCGCGTCCCTCCCACACCGGCGAGGGGTGACTTTGAGCGCACCAGCGCCACCGCTGCCGCGGTAGGTGTCGTGTGGTTGGCGGAGTAGGCGGCCATGGGGAGCCTCCGCGGCCTGCGCCTGGCAGCTGGTGAGACTCAGAATGGGCTGGGGAAGAGGGAATCCTGCGGCTCAGGCCGGGGAATTGCTGGGTTTCTTGATGCACGATGGTTTGGAATTCCATCTTATTAGTGTCAGTAATGAGACAGAGCTAGGGTTGAGCAAGCTGCTGCTAAGCAGACTCTGGAGACTAACCCAGTACACTGGCACCTGGCCCTCTATTTATCCAGCTTCCACCAACATAAGGGGTTCTTGCTCCCTCCTTTCCCTTCTCTTCTGAGCACCTTAATGCATTTGGTATTCCTATAACTTTTTGCTTTCCACCTTAACCTTCCCTATCAGTTATTCTAATTGATCTTTCCTCTCCGCCTCTCTCCCCATCATCAGAAGAGTTTATTCTTGCTATCAGACCACCTGAGTCTGAAGTTTCCCACGGTTTAAGTGTCTGAATGGAAAAGGGGTTTAAGATCCCACAGAATAATAGTAAATGTTTTCTTTTTTTTAACATTTATTTTTTAGTTGTAGGTGGACACAATACCTTTAATTTATTTTTTTTAATGTGGTTCTGAGGMTCAAACCCAGTGCCCCATACACGCGAGGCTTTTCCTCTTAGCCACAACCCCAGGCCCAGTAAATGTTTTCTTAAAAGGGAAGGGGCGGGGCTGGAGATACAGCTCAGTTGGTAGGGTGCTTGCCTCATGCACAAGGCCCTGGATTCAATTCCCAGCACCACAAAAAAAAAAAAAAAAAGAGGAGGAGGAGTACATGACTTTTAAGCAGTCTCACAACTAAGTGCTTTGAATTTCTTGGATTAAAGTTTTATGTACATGTAGAACTTGCAGTTCGTTTTCTCGGTAGACATTTGTGTGGAGGGTATTTTGAAGTTAGGAACTGAGAACTTAATTCCTCTTCTTGGGGAAACCAGGAGAGCCTTGGTATTACTGTAGGGCTGAGAAATTGGTGTTGGCATCTTCACTCCTGTAGGTGCCAGGACAGTTTTCTTGCTCACCTTTATGAACTTTGATGAGATATAATGAGAGTTTGCTTTTGTTCCATGGTACAAGATTATTTAAAAGTTGTTCATTTGGGGGGGGGGTACCAGGGATTGAACTCAGGGGCACTAGACCACTGAGCCACAACTCTAGGCCTTTTTGTATTTTATTAGAGACAGAGTCTCACCGAGTTGCTCAGCGCCTGGCTAAATTGCAGAGGCTGGCTTTGAATTCGAAATCCTCCTGCTTCAGTCTCCAGAGCTGATGGTCACACCCACGACTAAAAGTTGTTCAATTTTTAAAGGAAGAATAACCCCAAAGTGGGCTAATGAGAGAATGCAAATATACATTGTTATGTAAATGAAACAGTGACCAAAAAAAAAGAAAAGAAATTGTGCTGTGTTGAGAGGCCCTGTATCTCCAGCACATCCAACCAATACTGAATGTGTACGTTTCCCAAGCTTAGTATGTAGCCTGCATCTCCATGATGCTCTAGTATAATAATCAAAAAGGTAATGCTTTACATGGCTTATCTTGTGTTTCAGTGAAGAATAGAATGGAAAATATGTTGCACCTGGAGATTATCACTTCCTATAATGCAAAAAAAAAAAAAGTCCAAATACTGGTATTGATTTCATTTGATTTTGTTAGTTTGATTTAATTCACCTAAAATCTTTTGTATATATTCTATTAAATATTGCGAAGCTTTTTAGCAGGACAAGGGAAAGAATCAATGCTTTGTTTAAAATAAATAAATAAAACAGCCTGTGTGAAAGTGTTTTTGATTAGTCGGAATTCAGATTGATTTTACTTCGTGTCTTGAGATTATTATACTAGAGCATCATGGAACTTCCAAAGCTTCTCTTCAGGCATATGATGCTTTAGAACTTTACTATTGGGAACTTAACTAAGACAGTTCCTTCAGCCATCAAAGAATTATTTATTTTACTTCAGATAGAAAAACTTGAGTAACACCTAGGAGGGGTTATGTGAGCAGTTCTTTATAAATGGTCTGTGAACATATGATATTTTTGTGAGCATTATCATGGGATCTGCTTTATTTTGCCTATTTTATAGCTAAATGCTTAACATACATTATTTTATTTGGTTAATTTCTTGCAGCAGCCCTCTCTGGTAAGTCTTATTAGCCTCTCACCTTTTTGTAAATGAAACAGTTCAGAGGGTTAAGTGACTTGTCCATGATCACTTTGCAAAAAAAAAAAAAAAAAACAAAACAACTACAGTGCTGAAGGCAGTGCCCTCTTTTCTGAAATTTGTGCTCTTTGCCATGGCCAATTGGGTCTCATTAATGTGAAATGGAAGAGTCATATAATGCAGATTTATTTGTGAAATGGAAATACACATTCATGTGCAAATGGCTTTTCAAGAAAGAAGATTGATGATAAGCAACCATAACCAAAGGAGTAGCAGATCAAATAGAAACATAATTGAAGCACACTTGACTTATCCACGATACTATTTGGAATAAGCTACTCTTGTCTATGACCATAGTAACCTGAACACCAGATTTTGTCAGGAATAAGGTCCTCTAGGTGAATAAAATTTCAAATAACTAAAACAATCTTTGAAACCATGGACTTTTACATTAATTATTTCCATTAGAAATTTTTGCTGGTCTCCTTTAGCAAACAATACAGACTTTTATGAGCTTGAATTTGTTAATTGTTTTGTATATGTAGAGATAGGTCAGGTTAACTTGCAGTATTCTGGACACCTATGCAGATGAGATGTCTTGTGAACATCTGAATTTTATTCAAGTTTTATGATTATATGCCTGTTTTTGAGAAAAAGGGTCCAAAGCTTGCATTGATTACTCATGAAAATTATGAATGTGGGGCTGGGGATGTGGCTCAAGCGGTAGCGCGCTAGCCTGGCATGCATGCGGCCCGGGTTCGATCCTCAGCACCACATACCAACAAAGATCTTGTGTCCACTGAGAACTAAAAAATAAATATTAAAAAAATTCTCTCTTTCTCTCCTCTCTCACTCTCTCTTAAAAAAAAAAAATTATGAATGTGAATGAATAGGAATTAAATGGCACCTGATCCACACTGCTATGGATTCCTTGAGGTTAACTGGGTCTATTCTGTTCTTCCTAAATCCTCAGGTCATATTAGTGAAAAATTCGTGTACTGGCCATACATAATATTTTGATGAGGGACTCTAGGAAATATCTTGGAATAAGTAGATATAAAGTGAGTTTTCATACTTCTTTTCCCTTGAGAGTAGAATGAAGTAGATGCAGCTTTAAGGATATTATCTCTTCTATAGGGTGATTATTAGATCAGAATATTGGAATGGCCTTACCAGAATGTTCCTTCACACATTCAGAAAATTTTGTTACCTCAAACTCCATTGACTTGTCAGACTTTAAAATGAATTTATTACAATCATTTTTACTCCCAATGCAGTGGATTGTGGGTTGTGTTCTTGTGAGTTGAACCCACGTCTCAGAGCATTTACAGTCAAAAGATATCTTATGTAGTCCAGTTCCCTAATTTTTACACATTTGGTAATTAAAGACCCAAGAAAGGAATTCACTTGCTAAGAGTCACACACAGGTGCAAAGCTGTGACATAACCAGTGTTTCCTAGCTCCCATTCTGATTTTGTTTCCACAGTATTCTGCTCCTTCATTGCTTTTTTTGTTTGTTCTTGCTAACCGACCCTAAATGAGAATATGCCTATTRTAGCCACTCCCATGTTTGGCTTTGCTTATCACACCCCTCAGGTCTTACCAATAGGTTTTTATTGATCACACACTGTGTGCCCTGTTATATTGTGAAAGTGCTTGACATGAATAGACTGCTCCTTTTCCTAGGGCTAGCTTATTGCCATGAGTAAACCAATCTACACAATGCACCCAGACAACCTATACAAAATAATATATACTAACTTCTGGAAAGTACTGCTGTGGTGTCCTGGGGCCAGTTCCTGCCAACATTGTGCATATCTTTTCCCATTTTTTAATTTTAGAATTGAAGTGTTACATTGGTAGCTTGAAATCTGCTATGGTGAGGGTTAGTGGCAACATTATAGAACAGGATTTCTCACCAGCCTTTCCCAAGAGCCARTATACAACTGGCTTCAGGAATACAGAGAAAAGAAAAGATTTGTAAGGGTAGGATTGTAAATTGAAGGCTTCCTTCATTTGACATTTGTCATTGGAGGAGGTGGGAGTAACATGAGCAAAGATAGAGGCAATAATGAATCTGGACAGGTTCTTAGGAAGAAAGTAAGGAGAAAGAATTACCTTGGATTTTGATCAGGAGGTAATAGGTCTTTATGAGGAGTTTGAATTTGTTTGATTTGAATAAAAAAAAAAGTCTTCAAGCTGAAGTCATCAAAGAAACATCTTTGGAAAATTGTCAAGACATCTGCATACAAGATAAATTGTTGTGACCTGGAACAGTATAACTGTAATCCATGTATGAAGTGATGGTGGAAATGCTAAAAACGGATTGTATRTAGAAAACGTCTTGAAGAAACAAAAGTTTGGAGGCTTTGAATAATGTAAGGTAGAACTTAAAAGACAAGCGTTTGAGTATAGAAGTGTTACCCCACTGTCAGAAATAAGGAAGTTGGGGAAGTAATCAAGAATAACTTAAAAGATTTATGTTTATTTGGCAGAGAAGATGTGATGTTTTTGGTGTAGGTGGCTTTGAATTGTAGGTGATGATGGGATCCCTTTGTCAAAGACCAGAGGAGATAGGACAGAAAAATATGGGAACCATTGATGTAGAGCTGATTATTAAAATAGAATGGAAGAGAGGCTGGGCCTGGGGCTGGGGCTCAGCAGTAGAGTGCTCGCCTAGCACATGTGAGGCGCTGGGTTCAATCCTCAGCACCACATAAAAATAAATAAATAAAATAAAGATATTGTGTCCAACTACATCTACAACTAAAAAAATATTTAAAATACAAATAGAATGGAGGCCCCTCTACAGTAGCACGCAATAGTGGTAAGGACTGAATCTTGGAGACCTGTCATAGTTTAATAGAAAGTGACAAAGAAATCA